CTTCCACCCCCTCCTTCCCCCCTCCTATCCACCCCCTATCCATGCATAGGAATCGAGCCGTCGACTCTGTACGAGAATTCTCGCAAAGTTCGAACTTCAAACTAGTTCTTTAAACCGCTAGTACACGGGCCCAGCCTTGCAGTCCAAAACTTGTCGCCACAAGAAAACGAGGCCGAAACGTCAAACGCTGGGACTGCCATTGATATATTGGATCGGCGGTCGCTTCTCGGTTCGCGCCTCCGCAATTCAAGGTGTCAGGCCTGCGGCCCAGGTACTGGTGCTTTAAAACATGAAAGACGCGGTGATGCCGTCCAGCACAAGGTGATGATGTGTTTGTCTCTCACATTGTTGAGTGGCCTCTCTGTTTGATGTTGATCGCATTTCGTTCGTTTGTTATTGCTGTGCACATGCACTTGCAGGAAGCTCCAAATCCCAGAGGAATTCTGTCATCGAAGGCGGTCGGTGAGCCGCCACTTTTCCTGTCGGCATCGGTATTTTTTGCAGTAAAGGATGCCATCGCTGCAGCAAGGAGGGAAAGGGGATTGAAGGGATGGTTTGCACTGGACTCTCCAGCGACACCAGAGAGAATTCGAATGGCATGTGCAGACGAGTTTACAGCCCCGTTTGCCGGTCCGGACTTGAGGCCAAAGATCAGTGTATAGCGAAAGATGTTTTTTGAATTAATTGGTTTGCTGATCTCTAGGTCGAGCACGATCGGTATGCTGCCTGTGCTAACTCAGTAAACACCTGGATGCTATGCATGCTTACCTGCCTGTGCGAGGTTACTTCGCCCAGACAGCATTAGACATAGCATAGCATCGGACATAGCATGAGGCATAGCATTGGACATAGCATGAGACATAGCATTGTACATAGCGTCGTACAGAGCATCGGGCATAGCATTGTACAATAGTGTCGTACAGAGCATCAGGCATAGCACCAGACAGAGCATTAGACATAGCATCAACATAGCATAGCATTAGACATAGCATCAACATAGTATAGCATCAGATGTAACATAGCATTGCTTAGTACATTCCTCTATGAGCAAGGTACTGCTCTGCTGGTAATATTCATACTGTTACATCACACATAGCACCAGACATAACATCAGACATAGCATTGCTTAGTATATCCCACCATGGGGGAGGTACCACTCTGAGACTCCTGGTAGTATCAGCACTACTTCATAAGAAAGAGCAGCAGAAGTAGTATCAGGCATAGCATTGCTTAGTACATCCCTCCTTGAAGGGGGGGTACTTCAGCTCTTTTAGCAGGTTGGTTACATCTACAACCGAAATGGAAACCTAGTGTTTCTTGGTTTAAGAATGCGGAATCTCGTCTTAATCATCATTTATCTGGTCGTTTTGGAGTTAGTTCATTGGCTTGGTCTGGACATTTGGTTCCCGGAAGCCAGAGGACAACATGTAAGATGGGACAATTTTTTAATTTCTAGGGGACACTTTGTTATTTGGGAAGAGTTGAATGCCTGAAACGAAGGAAAAAGAAAAGGGCTAATTTGCGAAATACCCCTATAAGTTGGGATATATGCCAAAATGCCCCTAAAAAATCTGGGTAGAGCGGAATACCCCTCTGACACGAAAAATGTTTTGCGAAATGCCCCTGGTGTCGGTTGGACCTGCCATCTTTGCAAAAACCCCTACCGGGTACTGTCCATCTTTGCAAAATGTCCCAGTACTTGCCAACTTTTCCCAGGCCCCATGTATTTTCGTCTTATTCCAAGTGGCCGAGGTCATCTTTGCGTTTTGGCCCCTCGCCCATAGATAGACGGACAGAGAGAGAGAGAGAGAGAGAGAGAGAGAGAGAGAGAGAGAGAGAGAGAGAGAGTTCGCAGGAGGATTTCAGAGATGTTGACACGGCATAGGAGGAGCTGGAGATGGGGAACCTTACCAGGGAGGACAATGAATGAAGCTCCTGAACGCAGCGTGAGACAAAGGCAGAGACTTGGAATGAGTTTGAACGTTTGATTCACAGAGGCAAACTGCCCTGCTGACGGGCCTGGGTATTGCGCAAAGTTGCCCACCCGGTATGGAGGGCAAACCGGGTAAAACAGGGCCCCAACGACGTGGTCCAGATTGCGAATTTGCACATGGGCCTGACAGGGGCAAAACGCAAAGAATTAGGCCCAAAGGGGTATTCCGCTCTACCCACATCTTTCAGGGGCATTTTGGCATATAACATATTTCACAAATTATCCTAAAAGAAAAAGAAAAACAAAAAAAAAAACTCTTACACCACCAGTACTTGGCCCGGCTATCGGCCGCGGAGAAAAATAGAGGAGAAACGTTTTTAGTCGGATGAATTTGGGCGCTCTTGTAGTGGCCCGTACATTTCCTAAAATTGTTTCTTGTTAACGGGCACAACTTTAGGAAGTGCTGGTGGTTTAAGGAAATTTACTCGATATACTGAAGTTAATCAGCCGCGGGCTCTGACACTGGTGGTCGTGGGCCTCATGGCCCTTTCTGCATCACCGAATGGTTTGACAGCTGACACCTGGTGCGGTGGACAGTGGACGGTGGACGGTGGATGGGTGGATAGTGGGAAGCCGTAGATGAAGAGATGTGTGCTGAAGGAATGTGAGCCATGCGATAACGTGTCGGGGAGCGTCATGTTGTCAGAGTGTGAGTGTCAGATAGTGAGTGTCAGCGAGTGTCCGGTTGTCAGACAGCCCAAAAGGGAAAGTGCAAGTTTCCCAAAAAAAAGGGGAATCTTTTTGTTAATTTCGTTTTCCCGCTCAAGTTCTCTTTTGTTTGGTTTTGTATTCATTTCGAGAAAGATGACGGGCGTATCCCGAAAAGAAAAGGGAAAAAGGGGGGAAAAGAAAATCGTGCGTGTCCGGTTTCGTAGTCGTTCGAAAGTGTGGTCGCAAAAGAGACGAAAACATGGCATTTGGTTTGGTATTCGTACACTCCTTCGCGGGCTGGAAAAATGAAAAGCATGCGTTTGGTATTCGTCGGTGGCCGCAAAAAATGAAAGGCTCGTTTGGTTTGGTATTTGTTGGTGGCTCCAGAATCGACAGCCTCATTTGGTTTGGTATTTGTTCGTGGCGGCAAAATGAAAGGCTCGTGTTTGGTTTGGCATTTGTTGGGGGCTGTGAAATTGAAAAGTGCGCGTGTCCCACACACACACACACACACAGACAGACACTACCTCATGATGGGATGGTGAAAGTCCGACGAAACAGTCCGGCACAGTCATGTGTTTTTTGAGTGTATATAGCTAATATGACAACACGCTATATAGCACCGCACATAGCAGGGCCCCTGACAAATGACTCTTGGACTCCCTCACTGCTTCCCGGTTGTCAAGAGCTTTGAGGTTTATTGCAGTGACAAGCACGGGATTAGAAGAGGGTACAAGGTTTAACGGGTACAAAGGGTTTCAGAAACAGGTCTTCAAATGACCACAAAATAAGGTGGGCTGCACACACCGGGGATGGGAGTTCAGTCGCTAGTAACAGAAGGAGTGTAGACATAAATGCAAGGCGGACACCATCCTGGGTGGGGCTAGGCCAGCAGGAAGTAGGAACTCTACAAATTGGGAGGGTTACATACGCAGCCCCGAGGGAAAGAAGGATGCTCTAGAGCAAGAACTCTAAAGGCCATATGCCCATCAAACATTGCATTACAAAGATGTATCCAATGGGACGCTGGACCCGATTTCCAGCAGGTGCTGCTCCCCACCAGTAGACGGAGCCTCCCCGACGGTGCTAGGTGTGTCTGCTCATATCAGCACACCTAGCATCCGGTCGGGTTGTTCAAAAAAAAAAAACAAAAAAAAAAAACATGCTATATGTATAATAAATATAGGAATGAAGTGCTGGTTTGAAGCCGGGGAGGGCTGCTGAGATTTCAATTGCCTGATGTTTGCAGCTGCGGTTTGAACCCGCACAGATATCTTGAGGTACCAACTGCCTGATGAGTTAACTGCGGAGGTGGACCTGCATAATTTAAGCGTATGCAGGCATCCAGTCAGGTGTTAAGTCATCAGGCAGTTGCTACCTCAAGGTTCATGAGTGGGTTCGAACCGCAGCTGCAACCATCAGGCACTCAGCGGCCGTGCCTGGCTTCAAACCATGGCTTCAAACGGGACATTGGGATTTTTGGCCGAATATAAACAGCAATTACGGCCAGATTCAGTCCCATCAAGACAATGATGAGCATGAATGGAGGAGGGAGGATCGACAGAGAGGAGGGAGGAGGAAGAGGAGTGAGGCATATGACCATGATTGGAGAAAGAAAACGATGGATGGACGAGGATGGAGGGAGGAGGATGTGTGTGTGCAAGAGAGAGAGAGAGAGAGAGAGAGAGAGAGAGAGAGAGAGAGAGAGAGAGAGAGAGGATGGATAAGATGGCGGGGAGGAGAGAGGAAGGAGGATGGTGTGCGGTGTGTGTGTGTGTGTGAGAGAGAGAGAGGGAGGGAGGGAGGGAGGGAGGGAGGGAGGGAGAGATGCCTTCACAGGATGACACATGAATGGGAAATAAAACAACAGGGAGGGCGGGACTTGGGCGGCTGGCATTATTCCATCAGCCAACCAAACCCCAACAAGCACACAAATATGAGGAAGCGCTCATCAGCACTTGGGCGCCGAGCCCAGAGCTGTCGACAATGGAGCTGGACGGCCCCAGCTATGGCCGCCAGCGGTATGTGGAGAAGATGCCCTGCATACATGCCCACAATAGCGCAGCAGGGAAGCAATGCGACCTCCACCCAGACCGTGAAAAGGAAAGCAAAGAAAATAACCGAAAGAACCCCAAACTCGTGTGCCTCTGCCTACTTCTACACTTCCCTAGACCTACAACACAGCAGCCACCTACAGACCTATCTGACCATCCAAACAGCAAACATCTACGGCCAAACAGTCTAGATCTGTGTACATGCATCTACATGGAAACCTAGACTAAGGGGAACCAAGGCTAGGACACACAAAAGAAAGACCTACGGGCCTACCAGTTTCCAGAAGGGCAGAAAAGGACAAAACAACAAGGCTGAAAGGCCTAAGACTACGAGACTACTAGCGACAGGTTGAAGGTTCAAGCCCAATAACAGTCAATCACCACAAACACACTACAGGTCATGGGATCAATTCCCGCGCTGACTTCGGCAACTGCAGAAAACGACAAAACGGCAAAGCCCAAGGGTCTAGGACTGCCAAATAGAGACTACTAGCTACAGGTCGAAGGATCAAGTCCAGTAGGGCTCAAAGCTAACAAACCTAACGTACAAATTTCAGGTCACGGGATAAACTCCCACAAGGCCCAAACCAAGGAAACAGCCCACACAGCTAGTGTAGATCCCACTGGGATACTGTGATTTATTGCACCTCCATGTGAAAGACCAGATGGAATAGTGTCCAGGGGCACTAGCCCATTTGGCCAGTGCCCCACTGCAGTAGAAATGCATATATATACGAATGATTGTGTGTGTGTGTGTGTGTGTCTGAGCCACCCACTGTCTCTCCATGCGGAAGGCCAGATCAGGCCCAGATGGACTAGTGTCCAGGGGCACTAGCCCATTTGGCCCCGTGCCCCACCTAGTGCCCCACTGGAGAAGAAATACATATATATAAGAATGATTGTGTGTGTGTGTGTGTGTGTGTGTGTGTTGTGTGTGTGTGTGTGTGTGTGTTGTGTGTGTCTGTGTGTGTGTGTGTGTGTGTGTGTGTGTGTGTGTGTGTGTGTGTGTGTGTGTGTGTGTGAGCCACCCACTGTCCCTCCATGCGGAAGGCTGGATGGACTAGTGTCCACGGGCACTAGGCCATTCGGCCCAGTGCCCCACGGACCCCTCACACACATACAGGCAGACAGATGCACCATGCGTCCATCAAACAATAGACTCAGTGGTGTAATAATAGTTGTACAGGAGCAGCCCAGCAAGCCATAGGTCAACCATTTGACAGCTACCTTCTTAACCCGAACAGCTACCTTCTTAACCCGAACCCCAAAAAATGTGCGTACGTTCTATTCGACTTACCTCTGCAAATTGGGTTTTCAGGAATCGCTTGTTTGTTCCCAAAGTAAACAATTTTTAAAATTTTGATTTTTGAAAAAGAATCAGAAAAAACTGAAGAAAAAAATGTTGTACAACAACGCAATACAAACAACTTTTTCCTGAGGGTCTTGTTGAAATTCACAAATAAATTCGAGAAAAAAAATTGAAAACGAGGATGTGGCACACACACACACACACACACAGAGAGAGAGAGAGAGAGAGAGAGAGAGAGAGAGAGAGAGAGAGAGAGAGAGAGAGCATGGGAAGATACATGACTACCAAAATTCAAAAGAAATGGTGGTGAATCTTCCCACGTTCTACTGGCAGATTCATTCTCTTCCTATTGGGATGGGGATCCCGTGTCCACCACATGGAAATTGAGAATGAATCTCCCACTAGAACATGGGAAGATACATTGCCATGTTTTTTTGGCTTTTGTAGACAAAAAGATTGGCAAGGCCAAAAGAAATGGCGGTGCATCATCCCATGTTGAATCATTCTCTTCCTAGAGGTTGATGAAACAGAGTGGTTAGGGCACCGGTTGGAAATACGCATTGTGGTATGAGGTTGTGGGTTCAAAACTCAATTGCAGCCTTCCGCGTGGACACCGTTAGAATGACGCACAGCTGGACACCCCCCCCTTGGGCTGACACACGGTACGCTTATACAGACACTGCCTGCGCACCACCCAAGGGTTGTCCATGGTGTTGTATGTCAGGTCTTCACACTGCGTCGGTTGCTTGTGGCTGTTGCTCGTGGTTGTTCTGTTCATCTCCCCAGTCTGGCATATCACACACAGGGGGCCGTTTGCGATTGTCACTCAAATGGTAGAGTCTTCGGGTCGCGGGTTCGAGTCTGGCTTGGAACTTTGGGGGGGGTTCTTGTCCAGCTTGGCCTGTCATCTCTTGAAATGAACACATAGCTCCCTCTAC